GTGCTGCTGTCTGTTCTCAGTGACCTCGGATTTACACACTGGTCTCTCCCCTGGGTAGCACTTACCTGCCTTTTAATCTTGGCTCCACAGCCTGGCCTCCCAATGAAACAATGCCACACTTCACAGCTTTCTCTGTGGCAGTCGCTGCCTCCAATTTCTGAGCTTTTCTGGGATTTTATAGAGCACTGGCTTGCTTCTCCAGCACTCACCTCTGTAAGTCTCACCAGTGTTGGTCTCACCATTCCTGGCTATGCTGTGTCAACCACCATCCTCCCATCTATCAATACTATTTTCATATATTTTGATTCAAGGAAACAGGTACTTGGTCTTTTTTCCAAGATTCAAGCTGTCATTACTATTGTGACTTACCAACAAAAAGCTTCTGGCACATTGTGGGCACTCAAATATCTGTTTTATGAGTCAGAAGAACTTAGAACTTGCTGCAATATGGGATCTTTTTCTGAGAATTTCTTTAATGTACATGGTTGTGTAGGAGTTAAAGCTGTAAGAGGGATAGCCATCAGGAGGCTACCAGAGGAATTCAGGTGAGATGATGGTGGTTACCTCTAACTTGCTGGACCAGAGATGATTCATAATCCTGAATGGCAACCGTTTCCACCTTGGCAATTCTTTTATTCTTCTAGCTCTAATCTCCAAGCTTATATTTCTAGAAATAAATTATAGCCACACCTCATCAGATGGTTGTTCTTCCTTGTCACCCACTTAATTGTGTGACATTTCCACATGTTACTTTGTAAGGGTGATCAGAATTCAAGTCATTTGGGAGAAAAGACATTTGCCTTGAATTACAGGGGAGAAGTCCATCGATAGAGAACACAAAGTTATAATTCATCAGGGAACTCTTCTCTGACTCACTCCCCTACTCTTGTTGGGTCCTTGTATTAAATATATATTCTCAAACCAGCACATGCTTCCTTTGCAGGGCTTGCCGCAATTTGGCATACATTGTTTTTGAAATTATTTTTTGATGACTCTCTTTCATTAGACTTTAAGCTCCCCAAGGTCAGGGATCATGTCTGTCGTCTGCTCTCTCCACTGCACTGGGCACAGTGCTCAGAACACGAAGGTGGGCGCAAGGACTGTTGAAGGAGTGAGTTATGAATGTCAAAGCCCAGGCTGCTCAGACGGACGTGAGGATGACATTTATGTAAACAGGTCCTACGCGTAGCTCGTCTTTACTCTTTTGCTCGATCATAAGTGCTCTGCCACCCAATAACAGATCAGAAGTGAATTTTATGGAGACTAGCTTTCTAAACTTGGCTCAGAAGGTGAAAAAATGAACACCTGACATGAAATTAATTTACAAATCAGTTTATTTACACATTTCATCTTTTCTTAAAGTACATTTCAGTTAACAAATCTATTTACACAGGTGTACATGGGAACTCATCCCAGCTATTTTACAGATCATACTTACAAACCACACCCTAAGTCTTCTATGCAAAGTTGCACTGGATGTGACTATTGACTGAAAAAGGCCTGATGACCAGGGTATTTACACATACACAGTAAACGGGTTTGTTTTTCATGTCTGCACAATACAGTACACACAGGGAGGCGGGGCCTCCCAGGGAATGCTTTGCAATGTGTTTACCGAGAAGGCTTTGCAAAGTTCAGAAGGAAAAGCTATTAAATATAGGTTAATTAAAATGACAGTACCTCCTTTACATCAGTTTACATTTTTTCTTCACATTCTTATAATACAGTTTATTGAATTGCTGCACAACCAGTTTAAGATGATTTGTAAACATGTAAATTTCTACAATTTGCATTAAACATCATTGTAGTTTCTATCATTTGCTCTTTGAATTAATGTTTTATTCACTAGTATTCTTAAGGTAGTAAAAGAAGATGTAAGTTTGAACTTCTTGCAGAAAAGTTATGAGTCTCTAACGCTGTGCGAGTACACACTTTATTCAAGTATTGCAAAAAGCTAAGGCCACTTTTTTTTTCAAGACAAGAAAGTGAACAAAATTGTTTCTATCAATAGGCCACAACACTCTTATGAGCGATGAAATCTCTTTTGAAAGGTAATTTCTCAGAGACCTGTAGTCACAGAAGGAATTTTCCTTTCTTTTACATAAAAGAAACACAAATTACCTTCCTTATTAACTACTTTTGAGCTCTTCCCACTTTTCCCTAGAGTAAAAATTCCTGTTTAGACCTGAAGAGGGAATCTATACCCTGTACTTATTTAACCCAGAGTGAAGTACCCTGGATAGCACAAATTATTTTGGACTCAGAAATAAATCTGAAGCCTATATGTTGGTTTACTGCTAAATTCTGATAGTGCTATTACTCTAAAAGATATTACTGCTGATGCAAAGATCTTTTTCTTAGAGGAATTATAAAGAAAGAGTGAAAGAGGATGGGACTGTGGGGAGAAGGAACAAAGATTACAAAGAGGGAATATTTAGATTCTTGGTTAAGAGGCAGAGCTTGATTAAAAAGATCCCAATATGGAACGAGTGGCTGGGTATCCATGTTTATCATTCCTGATGCTAACAATTAACCCCTTTTTCAATTATACCCAAATAGTTAAAGCAATAAGAAATCTGCTAATTATAGATTCCTTTGTTTTCTGCTACCAAACTATGGATAATCATTTTTAGCAAAGAGTAAGACTGATCCATTCCTGCCTCTTTTATCTGGAACCCAGGATTCTCAAGATAGTAAAGACAGCTGGAGTATGTTAGGACTGCTACTGCCACATTCTTGGCAGCATTCTTACCAGGGAACTTTAAGTCCAGGTTGCTGATTCCATGGACTTATATCATTTTTTTCATTTTTGGAATCACAATGTCATAAAGAGTAAAGATAAACATTATTAAAAATTTATTTAGGTCCAAATAATGAGTATGTAGAAAAACAACCTATATTCCTATTATATTATTTTCATATTCATTTATAAAAAATTTACAGCAGCTGTAAAGTTTCAGTATCATAAGGACTATGTAATCCTACAAACAGCCAAAGGATGTAGACAAGATGTTTTTCCGTCTTCCAAATAACACAAACTGAAAAGAAAAGGCTTCGCTCTTCCTTGGCCACATGAAAATAATATCTCCACACTACTGGTTAATAACCCCAAGAAACCCTAGCTTCTCTTAGTCAGTTTGCTCATTATGGCTACAAGACTAGAGCTCAACATCAAAAGCCTAGAAGAAATGCTGGCAACATCAATCTGAGCATTTCCCGAGACCCAATCACAACATTTCAGTGCTTTTCCTTATTTGTCAAGAGCTATCATACCAGTCATTGTGCAAAATGCAAGTATTCCAATGATTATTTCAATAAGTTTCTCATAATGACAAGATGCAACCGAAGAGGAATGGAAGTGTGCATAGTGAAACACTGGAGACGCAAAGGCAAGTTTGGAGGAAAGAGGCAGAAATGAATGAACATGCACACTTAAAAGATTATACCATCTTTGGGGTTTTCCTAACGTATTTTGAAGTTATAACATTCCAGGATATTTATAAGTATGAATCCAGTGGATATCTTATATCATGCTTCTAATCAGGACCTTCAATATTAAGGCATTTACATTCACGCCTAAGATTATCCACATTCTTCTAGATTCCTTGAAGAAGGATAGGACTGATTCAGAGAAACCAGTCAAGAAGGCAGGGTGCTGAGGTCCCAGGAGAGCATCACACATGCTCTCACATAGCAGCTGGAGTCTATATATTTTTTTCAGATACAGGTAATAGTTGTGAGAAGCAATGCTGCAAGAGAGGCAGAATTGAATTTTACAGTGTCTTTAAATCATTTTACCCCATTCCTTGAATTAAACTGCCTTCTTCAATATGTATATGGGTTTGTTAAAACCGTAAGTTTCCTGTGCAAAGACTACGAACCATAGAAGCTTCAAGACAGAAGTTTAACTATTACAAGAAGAATCTTTCACTTCTGAATAGGGACATACATTTTCAACTTAATAATTTATCTTAAAATAAATTAAAAAAAATGTTCTATAGCGTAAAACAAGCACACAAACAATAGACAATATCTTTTTGTCTTTGGTGCACACACTCATTTCCTAAATCATTCAAGTAACAGCGTCTCTGACTTCTTGGGGAGATATGGGAGCTTAAAGTTTGAAGGCCAAAATGAATTATTTCCACTTCTGCCATGCCTTGATGCCTGAGATGGTCCTGAGGATCTGTGATTCTGGGAGCAGCTGGCAGAGGTTCAGAAGAAGTAAGAAAAGTGCAGGGGTAGACAAGGGGTGGAAGAACCAGCCCTGCACCAGTCCTGTGAGCCCAGTCTTCAGTGGGGGCACTTCTTTGTTTTCATGCTCACAGAGAAAAAACTAAGAATAATGCAAAAGTTTAAAATTCTTTAGATGGTGCTCAGGAAGCAAGGCTACCATTGATGTCTGTTAACTTGACAGTCCACTTGGTGCTGCTCAATTGCAATAATGGAAGAAAATGGTCTTCAAAACAAAATGAAATGAACTCCACAATGGGAAATAGGCACACATTACTAAACTTGCCTATCTGAAAGTAGTTCAGGGTTTAATACTGTTTAGAAACTATAATGTCCATTTATGACTTCCATGGTATAAACCAGGATTACATTTCAAAAATGGTATGATGCACATCTATATACCTCTCTTGCTTGACTTCAGACTCAAGGAAGTGATACCCTAGTCTAAGCTAAGAGGTAAGTCTGGTGCTTTCAGCCCTCATCTGAGACCCAGTAGGGATGCTAACAAGAGGTGTAGGATTATACCGTGTGTCAACATCAGACCCTGCCCACCGAAAACAACCAATTATTCCAGTGGACAGTCTCTAAAGGCTAAGGCTGTAATACCAGATATACCTCATTGTCCCATGAACTCCAAACCAGTAGTCTTTAAGAACAGGTACAAGGTCCAGAAGCACTCTTGCTATGATGGAGATGGGGTGTATATCAGGAGGCAGAAAGGCCCAGGACTCATATTAGCACTCAGTGTTCGATTTATTTGCAAGATGTCACACAAGTAGCATTCTCCCCTGTTTTTCACTGATCTGATTCAGAACATCAACAGTATCTCTGATCAAGGTCTCAAAGATCCCATCAGCTAGCTGCATCTTCACACACAACTCATCCTCATCATAGTTCACCCACTGTGCCTCCTCCTCGTGGAGCTCCTGTACCTAGAATTTAGAAAACAGAAAGGTTAGAAAATCACTGTCACACAAAAGCTAGGAATCAATGATATTCACTAACTTTGCAACCCCATGCGTCGGACTACAACCCAAGGAAATAAGTCAGAGAAAAAAAGGTAATTTATATGATGATATCAATAGCTCTTTTAAAGCTGCAAAAAGTTTGAAAAAACTCAACTGTCGAATAAAAACTGGCTTCAAATCTGTCAACCTTGACAATATTCCAGTATTTTTATAGATATTAAGGATTACAAGTATGTCGTCTCTGTCAACATAGGAGAATACGTAGAAGAACGCAAATTTTCAGATATATGGATTTACAATTATAAAATGCATATATCCAAAGACAATATTAGATATGATTCTGGAGTATGTAAATAAATGAGTAAAATTTCATATTCATTGGAGTTTTTTTTTTTTTTTTTTTGGGCCACGCCGCACGGCTTGTCGGATCTTAGTTCCCTGGCCAGGGACTGAACCCAGGCCTCAGCAGTGAAAGCGCCAAGTGCTAACCACTGGACCGTGAGGGAATTCCTCCCCCCCATTTTTTTTTGGTATTGGAGTATTCTTTAAATGTACTATTGCTTAAGTTTATTTTAAAAGTCACTGTTGTATTATATTTTATATAAAATGCTCTTTTTGCATTTTTGGATTTGGGGATTCCTAAGGTAAACCAAAGGAATCAAATTAGAATGAACTGCCCAAGATGTTTTGCTTGTTTACAATAAATTTTTAAAAACTACTTATAAGAGAAACATGTTAGACTTATTGTATGTAATGATATTGTGAGTGAGATGGAGGCCAGGTGGAGAAAGTAGAGTGTAAACCCTGTTTTAGTCACAAATTCAGCAAAGTTAATTGCGGTGTCGAGGGTCTCTAACCAAAAGTCTAACTTGCCAAAAGCCATGTGACAACAAGCTCCTAACTTGCACTTATCACAATTTCCTCTTGAAAAAGGCAGCGGAAGTGAAGAGGGGAACCTGTGCTCTGATTCCTGGCACGAGGAAACGAGAAGACTCTTGGATGAGAGACCACACCATTCTGAAGTGTGGGAGAGCAGCGCTGCCAGACATGCACCCTTGGCTGGAGTTGACGGGTATGTGGCAAGGCAGCTGCCACATTCTTTCTCCTTGGTGAGGCTGCTTGAAGCCTATGTAAAATATCCCTTTCTTTGTCCCCTAACGCATGCTCCCTGGACAGAAATACCACCAAAAAGGGTGATATGGTCAAATAAGTTTTAGAAATCTCCCTCTGGGAGTTTCACAATGTATATCAGTCTATTCTAAACAGAAGTCCACCAGTAGAGGAACTTGATTAATTCAGAGCTTCCTGTATGTATCTGGTCAAAGAATCAAATTGTGTGGCTATATAAGAAATATTATTAAGATACAAAGGAACAGGTGTTCTTCTCTTATGAAGGATGCTATAAGCAACAGCCTAATGCAACACTTCTCAACCTGGTGCTGAGGGAGAATCACGTTCTGGAAAAGCTAGTAAGTGTGTCCTCTATAAAAGATCTCTTATCTCCCATGGATTTGTTTATCTGTTCAAACAAAGTTGCACACCTTTCCTTTTTCTAAGTTCTCTCAGCCTTTATTATTAAATTTGTTCCTTGAACAATTTCCTATGCGATAATAAAATTTAGGAAACACTGTCCTAATGTAATCATTTTTGCTCTTACAGCAGGAACATATGCTCAGGACATTATCCATTATATCTTTCAGTGAAGCCGTGATGAGTCCCCACTGTGCCTCGTCAGTATAGCAAAAGCTTTGCTCCTCTGTAAGAACAGGAATTATTTCCCTCCCCGCCAGTAAGAACATCGTGTTTCCCTTTTTCCTTTAGCCATCAGAAAGCACAAAGCCCAGTTTGCAACTTCAACTGTGGCAACTGAGAGATCCCACAACCTGCAAATATGCCTCCATTTTCTTCTGGTTTGGGGAATCTATTCTATTCAACCACACACTTCCCTTGCTGCTGCTCCTTAATATGTATGTGTGTATGTACCTAAATTAATATGTATTATATATAAATAATTAAATTAAAAAGTCAGTCTAACTTTTTTTTTTTTTGGACAGGGTATTAGGCTGGTAGAAAAGAGAAAAGTGGTAAATAGAATGTGGCCAGATTTCAACAAGCATATGTCCTTTCACCATATCCCTGTGAACAAGATGGTGAAATAGAGACAGGTCAGTTAGGTGGATGTGCACTTTTTTGGATTGAAGGACAAGACAACTATCAACCTGGAAGGAGGCTTCTGCCTGGAAGACTCAAGAGCTTTTTCCTCTGTGCTCCCAATCCATCTTGTTCATATTCCATTGTAGTAATTATCCTACAGGATTTTGTATTCTGTGCATCTGTTCTCCTGTTAGGCTGTGGGATTTCTTTTTATTTCTAATTTCCCAGTGGCCAGGCCAGTGAAAATAGAAGGTGTTAAATAAATATCTGGCATATCGTTTTTTAGTGAGTGTTTTATGGCTGTCTTTGGCTCTGCTGAGTTCATCATTTTTAGCAATGACCTAGATGAAGGCAGGTACCTCAGTTTTAGAGTTGACGTGAAAGTTGGGAAACACAATAGCTATGTTAAAAGAAAGAACCTAAAAATGTGTTGATAAGCTTGGAATGATGGGTCAAATTTAACAAAATGAAGGAATAAAATAAGGTCCTGTACTTGGATCAAAAAAATAACTACAAAAGCACAGGTTGAGATTTGGGTCTTAGAATTTTTCTAAGCTTTTGTGAGTCCCATGAGAATGGTATAGCTAAAAATAAAATGAACGTGATTATAAACTGCATTCATCAAAGGATAGTATCTAGAAAAAAGAAGGAGGTTATGTGATTGTACTAATTAAGCAATAACACAAAATATTACAGGCATACCTCGGAGATATTGTGGGTTCACTTCCAGACCAGTGCAATAAAGTGAATATCGCAATAAAGCTAGTCACACAAATTTTTTGGTTTCTCAGTGCATGTGAAAGTTATGTTTACACAATACTGTAGCCTATTAAGTGTGCAACAGCATTATGTGTAAAAATCAATGTACATACCTTAATTAAAAAATACTTTATTGTTAAAAAATCTAACCATTATCTGACAATGTAGGATTGCTACAAACCTTCAATTTGTTAAAACAAACAAACAAACAAACAAAAAACCCTGCAGTAGCTAGGAAGCACAATAAAGCAAAGTGCAAGAAAATGAGGTATGCCTGTATATGGTCAATTCTGAGCAGTGTATTTAAGGAGGGACACTGACAAAGAGCTAAAGCTGATGAGGTTGAAAGGGGCTCAAAAAAACACTATCATACAACAGGAGAGAATATCAATGTTTAAAAGGGAGAAAAAGACTGATGAAACATTACAGCCGCTTCAAAGGCATGCAGGAAGAATTAAAATTGTTATGTAAAGCCTTAAAGCTGTAAAAGCAAATTATAATTCATTACGTGAAAACCAATTTAGGCTTAATATGAGAAAGAACTTATCAACAGTAAGTAAAAACTCAGGAGCTATTGAGTACCTTATCAGATCTTAATCTGCAAAGGAGATTTAATCATTAGCTAGGTAGTTTCACTACAGGATTTGTCATTTTAAATGCAATTCTACCTATAGTAGGGAGATTTCCCAGGGCTACTGTATATAAAGGATATACAAAAGTTGGTCTAATCACTTTTACTCATTCCACGTCATATATACTTTGAGAATACATCACTAAAAATAGCCCATATTCTTAGCCAACTTAAGATGTAAATTAATCAATATCTTTGTGAAGTGGTAAGGGGATAGTAAAGGAGAACTAGAGCCAAAAGATTTCTCTTCTTTTTTGGCCAACAGAGGCCTTTAACATCTAAAAAATACATTCTTTGTATTTTACTCACCTCACATAATGCCTAAAGACACACAGACTGACTAGGGACTTTCCTAGCCCAAGCAACAACAGCTAAATTATACATTTCTTAATCTGGAAAAAGCAACTGTTTATTATGAAATATTAAATATAATAGGTTCTCATGTTAGAATTGTTTTAGAAGGGCAATCGATAAGAGGCCAACCCCTCCACTTGCATGGATTCCATCTGTGTCTATTCAGGAACACTGCTCCAGCAGTTCTCCTTTCTCCTCTGCATCATCACAATTTTTTCCTATCAGCATATCTCTTTCAAGCTAAAAGAGCCCTTCTCTTGTTACCATTTCCCTCCATTTTTCTCTTCACAAAAAAATTCGTTTGAAGTGTCCAATTTTGCTCTCCTTAATTTGTCTTTCATTCTCTCTTGAAACCTACTCAAATCAAGCTTTTACCTTATCCATGCCACAAAAACTACCTGTATTGATGTTAAGATCAACAAAGACCTCCACATTGCTAAATCCAATGGTAAATTCTCAATCGTTATCTTACTTGACCAATGAGCAGCACTTGACACAGGTGATTCATTCTTCCTCGTTGAAACACTTTCACCTGGCTTCCAGGACCTCACACTCTCCTGGTTCTACCCATCGGCTGCTCCTTAGTCTCTGTTGGTTCCTCCTTACCTTCTTAACTCTCGAAACATTGGAATTTGTCAAGAAGCAGTCCTTGGATCTCCTCTCTCTTGGTCTACACTCTCTTTCTTGGCTTTGACTACCATCTATGTCACCACTCCCGAATTCACATCTCCAGCCTACCTCTCTTGACTGAGCTCCAGGCTCATATATCTAATAGCCTACTCAGTATCTCCATTTGGATGTTTATTAGACATTTCAAATTTAATACATTCAAAACAGAACTCCTGATGTTCCTTCCAAACCTGCTTCTATCAGTCTTCCTCAAATCAGCAAAAGGCAATTCCCTTCCTCAGCGACTCACACCAACCCAATGGAGTTATTCTTAATACCTCTCTTTCTCTTATATTCCACATTCGATTTATCAGCAGTTCTGTTGTTCTATTTTGAAAACTGTTCTCACCATCTCCAATACCACCAAACTGGTCTTAGCCACTATTATCACTTGCCTGGATTATGACAATATACTCCTGGCCTCCTTACTCCCACCTTTGCTTCAGTCTATCCTCAACACAGCAGCCAGAGGGGTCCTGTTAAAATGTAAGTCAAATCACCCCAGTATTCCCTTATTTCCTCTCTCTGTATTTATTTTCCTTACTTATCTGTCTCCTTAACTACAGCAAAAGCTCCTTGAGTTTTGTCTGTTTTGTTACATAATTCTACAATGGATTGCTATATTTCCACAAAAAATAAAATGGAATAAATTTATTTAAAAATGTTATGAAATAAAGGAACATTTAAAAATAAGGAAAAACATCCACGTTTAATTAAGCAAAAACAATGAGAATACAAAAGAGACTACGATCCCAAATGTTTAAAAAAAATTCTCAGTATAAAAAGAAACGCTAAGTCTATATATCAAAATAATTAAGAGTTATCTAGGTGATAAGGTTGTCATGATTATTTTCTTTTGACTAATCAGTATTTTAAATTTTCTAAAATGAGCATGATTATTTTATAATAAATATGATTTTTAAAACGTATTTGAAATTTCTGTTTTTGAGACCCTTTTCTTTTGTACTAGTGGCAAAATTTTTGTTTTATGTGTCATGAAAATTGTTGTTTTAAATCTCAATCTCTCTAAAATGTACAAGCATTAGAATATCCAAATGCCAGAGGTGGCTAAATCTAATAGTAGGAAGGGTGACCAGTTTATTTAGCATTTCTTGTTAATAATTAACTCAAGTTGCTAACAGTATCATTTTACTAAACATTAAGAAGAGTGAACTCATGAAAAAAGTTACATAGGCCCAGGTATTTCAACTCACTCTCCAGCCACAATGACATTTCAGTTCCATGCTCCTTCCCACTTCAGGACTTCGCACGTGTAGTCTCCTCTCCCTGAATTGCTCTCCTCTCTATCACGGAACTCAGTTAATGCTTATTCATCTTTAGATCTCAGCTCAGCTGTCACTTCCTCAGGGAAGCCTTTCCTGACCATCCTCATCAGATCAGTTTCCTCCATATGCTTTTACAACAGCTCCCTATTCTTCTATTTTGATCATTTAATTTGGAATTACACACTTGTATAAATTATATATTAGTGGCTAGCTTCTGCCAGCAAACTGTAAATCCATGAAGGCAGGGTCTATGTCTATTTTGCTTACTATTGTAACATCAGTCCTAATTAGCACAATTCTTGACTAAATGCATGCACAGAGATGATTTATAGGGAATATGATCAATTCAACTGATAGTAGGGTAAATGAATGTCTCTTGATGTGTTTTCTTTAATTCCTTAAAAAGTGGAAGAAGTAACATCTTGATAATTAATAATAACTCAAACTCTAAGCTACTGTAGAAATATGAGACCAAGTTCACCTTGAGAGGCCAAGATCTATGAAGAACTAATTAGTTAAAGTCCTGGCTCTTATTTGACGGGCAAGTTACTTAATATCTTTGAATCTAAACTTCCTCATTTGTAAAACAGAGTAACATTAGTCCATCCTACCTCATACAACTATTGTGAGGATCAAGTAAGACATGAGAAAGAATGTTTAACAAATGTTTATCTAGTGAAGTTATTACTGAGTAAATGAAGCACTAGAAAGGTACATACTTGGGGAAAACTGATAAATTTAAGCATTACAGTTTTTTTCATGATATGAATATAAATATAGACAAGATATAAAGTCCAGAGAGAAAATATCTGGAAATAAACCTGAATCAATTAACATCTGAGTTTCCTAAGGTCTGCTACTACTTAACATCTTAACATTCTTTTAGGGAAGAAGGAATAAAAGACCTTTCTTCCCCCTTCCTTTTTTCTTTTTTTTGGTGTTGTTGTTTGATAGGCATTTTTCTAATGCTAAAAAAAAAATTGCAAAATAGAATAAATCCTATTCAGCTAAAGTTCTGGATAATAATGATGATGATGAAATAACAGCTAATATTTATTGAGTTACGTGCAGGGCACTGTTCTATACACATATATAAATACTCCTTTAATTCTCTTAATAATTTTATCAGGTAGGTACTATTATATCATCTTCATTTTGCAGATAGGAAAATGCGGCACAAAGAGGTTAATCTGTCCAAGATTACACACCAAGTAAAGTGCCAGAACAGGGATTTAAACTCAGGTAGTCTGGCCCTAGTCTACACTGGTCTCTTCAATTCAGAACCTTAAGTTTGCTTCCATTCAACTTTTTATTTCTCAAGTTCTCCACACCCACAAAAATACTGTTAAGTTAAACATTCATCTACTGAATTCAAAAGAAAGCAATTTCCAAAACTGAGGGGCAGAGAGAAATGCAGCACACGAGGGCTTTAAGAATTTACTGTCATAGACTTAAGATCAATTATATTCCCTTTCCTTTTAAAATCTAACTACATTCTGATTTTAGAAAAGATGGTCAAAATAAAAATAGTTCAGTTATATACACTGACCAGGATATGATCCACTCGGTCTCTTTTCTTTCTTCCAAATTTCATCATTTTTTGCCAATCTGTTTTGTGGTTTGGCTCCTTTTTAAGACTGAACAGCTTGAGTACTTCGGTTGCTATGAAGTTCTGTGAAAATAAGTGAAATGAATGAAACACAAACAACAAAATTCTTGAGATTTAGTGCTTATAATGCAGTAAAGAGATTTTTGTTAAGAATAAAATATTTATAAAAAAATCATACAAACTTCTTTCCCTTACAATTCCACTTAGCAATTTGAAGAGAAAAGCATTCCCAAATGCTCAGACTTTATTCACTTAAAGAATTTTTGTTTCTACACAACATAAAAAAAAAAAGTAAAACCCACTGATGAATCTGCAAAGAAAAATCACTTTAGAATCCCCTCTACCCAAGAACCACCATTAGCTAACTTCAAGCTGGCAAAACTACAAAACAAAGTATAAAATAAATCCCTGAACCTGAAACATGAGCAAAGTACAAGGCTTTGGCTGGGATAGCTTATTTTGAAGCACCAAGATTTGAATATGTTATATTAAAAAATTATTAATCAACACTTCAGTATGAGAAGCATGGTAATTTCACTGCTAACAATATTTGAACTATCACCCTTAAAAAAACTTTACAAAATGCTATAGCAATATTAAAACTGGAAGGCAGCATCACTGTGTGTCATAATAAATGATGTATGCATTCTGATGAATGCTGGTATATATTATGTACCTTGTCTTATTTCAATGTATTTGTTCTTTGTTACTAATAAAATAATGTGTTTTTATGGTTCTTCTATTAAAAAAATGTCTTAATAGGGGAAACAACACATTTATGAATCAGAATCATTTGAGAAGATTCTCAAACTACCAATGTCCTCCAAACCACACCACTCCCCACCTACACACACACACACATACTCACGCATTCAAGGATGTATCAACTGCTGAGGGCTGAAAGGAATGAAGTGCACCAGTGTTTTGAAAAAGCTCCTCAGGTGGTTCTGATGCTCCATTCCTCAAAGTTGAAAATCATTTTAAAAGTTGTTTTTTTTAAATCTATCAAGTCAATCTTTGAAAACTCTTTTTTTCCTGCTTACTTTAATCTAAGCAAGGGTGAGCAAACTTTCTGTGAAGGACCAGACTGTAAATATTTCAGGCTTTGCGGGCCAAATGGTCTCTATTGCAACTACTCAACTCTGTTGGTGTAGCAGGAAAGCAGCCATGGACAATATATAAGTAACTAGGTGTGGCTACAGTCCAATACAACTTTATTTTTAAAAACGTGGTGGGCTGGATTTGGCCTGTGGGCTCTAGTTTGCCTACCCTCGATATAAGCATACATTATATCTCATAAATGTCTGCGGCAATTCTGTCAGTACAAAATATTTCTAAAAGCTTTCTATAGTTAATACTGTATTATATATTTCAAAGGTGCTAACAGAGGAGATCTTAAAAGCTCCCACCACAAGAAAAAAAAACAACTGTAACTATCGTATGTGTGGTGATGCATGTTAACCAGACTTATTGTGGTGCTCTATTCACAATACATACAAAAATTGAATCCTGAAACTAACATGTTACATGTCAATTATATCTCAAGAAAAAAAAAAAGACTAAGTGTCAATTGTATCTCAAGAAAAAAAAAGACTAAATTGCTTAGACAATGCCTCCCCTCACGTTATATACCAGAAAAATGTATATGTTCCTTTAATGTATTTTGATAGTCCACATATACTACTGGATGATGTAAGAAAAAACACCAGTAAGGTAAGTAATTAGAGGTATACTCTCTAGGAGAAAAAAAAGCTTCTTATGGTCAAATAAGTTTGAGATCATAACTCTGGAGTCTTGCGACTCAAAATGATCTTAGGACCAGAAACACCAGCAACACCTGGAAGCTTGCTAGAAATGCATTTTCAGTCCTACTCCAGATCTACTCAGTAAGGAATCTGCATTTTACCAAAATCCCCAGATGACTCAGATGCACATTAAATTTTGAGAGGCACTGCAATGAAAATACTACCTTTGCTATATTTTAAAAATAGGTAAACAGGCATAGAGATTTCCACCAATGTGATTTTTATTTTACATTTTTTTTTTTTTTTTTTTTTTCGGTACGCGGGCCTCTCCCTGCTGTGGCCTCTCCCGTTGTGGAGCACAGGCTCCGGACGCACAGGCTCAGCGGCCATGGCTCACGGGCCCAGCCGCTCCGCGGCATGTGGGATCTTCCCAGATCATCTGAACAGATATCCCCCCTTTTTTTTTTAACATCTTTATTGGGGTATAATTGCTTTACAATGGTGTGTTAGTTTCTGCTTTATAACAGAGTGAATCAGTTATACATATACATATGTTCCCATATCTCTTCCCTCTTTGTCTCCCTCCCTCCCACCCTCCCTATCCCACCCCTCTAGGTGGTCATGAAGCACCGAGCTGATCTCCCTGTGCTATGCGGCTGCTTCCCACTAGCTATCTATTTTACGTTTGGTAGTGTATATATGTCCATGCCACTCTCTCGCTTTGTCACAGCTTACCCTTCCCCCTCCCCATATTCTCAAGTCCATTCTCTAGTAGGTCTGTGTCTTTATTCCCATCTTACCCCTAGGTTCTTCATGACATTTTTTTTTCTTAAATTCCATATATATGTGTGTTAGCAAATGGTATTTCTCTTTCTCTTTCTGACTTACTTCACTCTGTATGACAGACTCTAGGTAAATCCACCTCATTACAAATAGCTCAACTTCATTTCTTTTTATGGCTGAGTAATATTCCATTGTATATATGTGCCACATCATCTTTATCCATTCATCCGATGATGGACACTTAGGTTGTTTCCATCTCCGGGCTATTGTAAATAGAGCTGCAATGAACATTTTGATACATGACCCTTTTTGAATTCTGGTTTTCTCAGGGTATATGCCCAGTAGTGGGATTGCTGGGTCATATGGTAGTTCTATTTGTAGATTTTTAAGGAACCTCCATACTGTTCTCCATAGTGGCTGTATCAATTCGCATTCCCACCAGCAGTGCAAGAGTGGTCCCTTTTCTCCACACCCTCTCCAGCATTTATTGTTTGTAGATTTTTTGGTGATGGCCATTCTGACTGGTGTGAGATGATATCTCATTGTAGTTTTGATTTGCATTTCTCTAATGATTAATGATGTTGAGCATTCTTTCATGTGTTTGTTGGCAGTCTGTGTATCTTCTTTGGAGAAATGTCTATTTAGGTCTTCTGCCCTTTTTTGGATTGGGTTGTTTGTTTTTTGTTACTGAGCTGAATGAGCTGCTTGTAAATTCTGGAGATTAATCCTTTGTCAGTTGCTTCATTTGCAAATATTTTCTCCCATTCTGAGGGTTGTCTTTTGGTCTTGTTTATGATTTCCTTTGCTGTGCAAAAGCTTTGAAGTTTCATTAGGTCCCATTTGTTTTTATTTCCATTTCTCTAGGAGGTGGGTCAAAAAGGATCTTGCTGTGATTTATGTCATAGAGTGTTCTGCCTATGTTTTCCCCTAAGAGTTTGATAGTTTCTGGCCTTACATTTAGGCCTTTAAACCATTTTGAGTTTATTTTTGTGTATGGTGTGAGGGAGTGATCTAATCTCATACTTTTACATGTACCTGTCCAGTTTTCCCAGCACCACTTATTGAAGAGGCTGTCCTTGCTCCACTGTACATTCCTGCCTCCTTTATCAAAGATAAGGTGACCATATGTGCGTGGGTTTATCTCTGGGCTTTCTATCCTGTTCCATTGATCTATCTTTCTGTTTTTGTGCCAGTACCACACTGTCTTGATTACTGTAGCTTTGTAGTATAGTCTGAAGTCAGGGAGGCTGATTCCTACAGCTCTGTTTTTCAGTCTCAAGATTGTTTTGGCTATTCGGGGTTTTTTGTGTTTCCATACAAATTGTGGAATTTTTTGTTCTACTTCTGTGAAAAATGCCAGCAGTAGTTTCATAGGGATTGCAGTGAATCTGTAGATTACTTTGGGTAGTACAGTCATTTTCACAATGTTGATTCTTCAAATCCAAGAATATGGTATACTCTCCATCTATTTGTATCATCCTTAATTTCTTTCATCAGTGTCTTATAATTTTCTGCATACAGGTCTTCTGTCTCCTTAGGTAGGTTTATTCTGAGATATTTTATTCTTTTTGTTGCAACGGTAAATGGGAGTGTTTTCTTGATTTCACTTTCAGATTTTTCATCATTAGTGTATAGAAATGCCAGAGATTTCTGTGCATTAATTTTGTATCCTGCTACTTTACCAAATTCATTGATTAGCTCTAGTAGTTTTCTGGTAGCATCTTTAGGATTCTCTATGTATAGCATCATGTCATCTGCAAACAGTGACAGCTTCACTTCTTCTTTTCCGATTTGGATTCCTTTTATTTCTTTTTATTCTCTGATTGTTGTGGCTTAAACTTCCAAAACTATGTTGAATAAGAGTGGTGAGAGTGGGCAATCTTGTCTTGTTCCTGATCTTAGTGGAAATGCTTTCAGTTTTTCACCATTGAGGACTATGTTGGCTGTGGGTCTGTCATATATGGCCTTCATTATGTTGAGGCAAGTTCCCTCTATGCCTAGTTTCTGGAGGGTTTTTATCATAAATGGGTGTTGAATTTTGTCGAAAGCTTTCTCTGCATCCACTGAGATGACCACATGGTTTTTCTCCTTCAATTTGTTAATATGGTGTATCACACTGATTGATTTGCGTATATTGAAGAATCCTTGCATTCCTGGAATAAACCCCACTTGATCATGGTGTATGATCCTTTTAATGTGCTGCTGGATTCTGTTTCCTAGTATTTTGTAGAGGATTTTTGCATCTATGTTCATCAGTGATATTGGCCTGTAGTTTTCTTTGACATCCTTGTCTGGTTTTGGTATCAAGGTGATGGTGGCCTCGTAGAATGAGTTTGGGAGTGTTCCTCCCTCTGCTATATCTTGGAAGAGTTTGAGAAGGATAGGTGTTAGCTCTTCTCTAAATGTTTGCCAGACTTCGCCTGTAAAGCCATCTGGTCCTGGGCTTTTGTTTGTTGGAAGATTTTTAATCACAGTTTCAATTTCAGTGTTTGTTATTGGTCTGTTCATATTTTCTATTTCTTCCTGATTCAGTCTTGGCAGGTTGTGCATTTCTAACAATTTGTCCATTTCTTCCAGGTTGTCCATTTTATTGGCATAGAGTTGCTTGTAGTAATCTCTCATGATCTTTTGTATTTCTGCAGTGTCAGTTGTTACTTCTCCTTTTTCATTTCTAATTCTATTGATTTGAGTCTTCTCCCTTTTTTTCTTGATGAGTCTGGCTAATGGTTTATCAATTTTGTTTATCTTCTCAAAGAACCAGCTTTTAGTTTTATTGAGCTTTGCTATCGTTTCCTTCTTTTTCATTTATTTCTGATCTGACCTTTATGATTTCTTTCCTTCTGCTAACTTTGGGGGTTTTTGTTCTTGTTTCTCTAATTGCTTTGGGTGTAAGCTTAGGTTGTTTATTTGAGATGTTTCTTGTTTCTTGATTGTATTGCTATAAACTTCCCTCTTAGAACTGCTTTTGCTACATCCCATAGGTTTTGGGTCGTCGTGCATCCATTGTCATTTGTTTCTAGGTATTTTATGATTTCCTCTTTGATTTCTTCAGTGATCACTTTGTTATTAAGTAGTGTATTGTTTAGCCTCCATGTGTTTGTAGTTTTTACAGATCTTTTCCTGTAATTGATATCTAGTCTCATAGCGTTGTGGTCGGAAAAGATACTTGATATAATTTCAATTTTCTTAAATTTACCAAGGCTTGATTTGTGACCCAAGATATGATCTATCCTGGAGAATGTTCCATGAGCACTTGAGAAAAATGTGTATTCTGTTGTTTTTGGATGGAGTGTCCTATAAATATCAATTAAGTCCATCTTGTTTAATGTATCATTTAAAGCTTGTGATTTCTTATTTTCATTTTGGATGACCTGTCCTTTGGTGAAAGTGGGGTCTTAACGTCCCCTACTATGAATGTGTTACTGTCGATTTCCCCTTTTATGGCTGTTAGTATTTGCCTTATGTATTGAGGTGCTCCTACGTTAGGTGCATAAATATTTACAATTGTTCGATCTTCTTGGATTGATCCCTTGATCATTATGTAGTGTCCTTCTTTGTCTCTTCTAATAGTCTTTATTTTAAAGTCTATTTTGTCTGATATAAGAATTGCTACTCCAGCTTTCTTTCGGTTTCCATTTGCATGGAATATCTTTTTCCAGCCACTCATTTTCAGTCTGTATGTGTCCCTAGGTCTGAAGTGGGTCTCTTGTAGACAGCATATATATGGGTCTTGTTTTTGTATCCATTCAGCCAGTTTGTGTCTTTAGGTGTGAGCATTTAATCCATTTACATTTAAGGTAATTATCGATATGTATGTTCCTATTCCCATTTTCTTAATTGTTTTGGGTTTGTTATTGTAGGTCTTTTCCTTCTCTTGTGTTTGTTGACTAGAGAAGAACCTTTAGCATTTGCTGTAAAGCTGGTTTGGTGGTGCTGAACTCTCTCAGCTTTTGCTTGTCTGTAAAGGTTTTAATTTCTCCATCAAATCTGAGTGAGATCCTTGCTGGGTAGAGTAATTTTGGTTGTAGGTTTTTCTCCTTCATCACTTTAAACATGTCCTGCCAGTCCTTTCTGGCTTGCAGAGTTTCTGCTGAAAGATTAGCTGTTAACCTTATGGGGATTCCCTTGTGTGTTATTTGTTGTTTTTCCCTTGCTGCTTTTAAGATGTTTTCTTTGTTTTTAATTTTTGACAGTTTGATTAATATGTGTCTTGGCGTATTTCTCCTTGGATTTATCCTGTATGGGACTCTCTATGCTTCCTGGACTTGATTAACTATTTCCTTTCCCATATTAGGGAAGTTTTCAACTATAATCTCTTCAAATATTTTCTCTTTCTTTTTCTCTTCTTCTTCTGGAACCCCTATAATTCGAATGTTGGTGTGTTTAATGTTAATGTTGTCCCAGAGGTCTCTGAGACTGTCCTCAGTTCTTTTCATTCTTTTTTCTTTATTCTGCTCTGCAGTAGTTATTTCCACTATTTTATCTTCCAGGTCACTTATCCGTTCTTCTGCCTCATTTATTCTGCTATTGATCCCATCTAGAGTATTTTTCATTTCATTTATTGTGTTGTTCATCATTGTCTGTTTCATCTTTATTTCTTCTAGGTCCTTGTTAACTGCTTCTTGCATTTTGTCCATTCTATTTCCAAGATTTTGGATCATCTTTACTATCATTATTCTGAACTCTTTTTCAGGTAGACTGCCTATTTCCTCTTCATTTGTTAGGTCTGGTGGGTTTTTATCTTGCTCTTTCAACTGTTGTGTGTTTTTCTGTTTTCTCATTTTGCTTATCTTACTGTGTTTGGGGTCTCCTTTTTGCAGGGTTCGTTGTTCCCGTTGCTTTTGGTGTCTGTCCCCAGTGGCTAAAGTTGCTTCAGTGGGTTGTGTAGGATTCCTGGTGGAGGGGAATAGTGCCTGTGTTCTGGTGCATGAGGCTGGATCTTGTCTTTCTGGTGGGCAGGTCCACGTCTGGTGGTGTGTTTTGGGGTGTCTGTGGACTTATTATGATTTTAGGCAGCCCCTCTGCTAATGGGTGGGGTTGTGTTCCTGTCTTGCTAGTTGTTTGGCATAGGGTGTCCAGCACTGTAGCTTGCTGGTCGTTGAGTGAAGCTGGGTGTTGGTGTTGAGATGGAGATCTTTGGGAGATTTTCGCCATTTGATATTATGTGGAGCTGGGAGGTCTCTTGTGGACCAGTGTCCTGAAGTTGGCTCTCCCACCTCAGAGGCACAGCACTGACTCCTGGCTGCAGCACCAAGAGCCTTCATCCACACGGCTTAGAATAAAGGGGAGAAGAAGTAGAAAGAAAGAAAGAAAGAGGCTAAAATAAAATAAAATAAAGTAAGGTAAAATAAAATAAAGTTATTAAAATAAAAAAATAATTATTAAGGAAATTTTTTTTTAAAAAGTAAAACAAACAAACAAATGGACGGATAGAACCCTAGGACAAATGGTGAAAGCAAAGCTATACAGACAAAATCTCACACAGAAGCATACACTCACAAAAAGAGGAAAAGGGGAAAAAATAATAAATCTTGCTCTCAAAGTCCACCTCTTCAATTTGGGATGATTCATTGTCTATTCAGGTATTCCATAGATGCAGGGTACATCAAGTTGATTGTGGAGATTTAATCTGCTGCTCCTGACGCTGCTGGGAGAGATTTCCCTTTCTATTCTTTGTTTGCAGAGCTCCCAGGGTTCAGCTTTGGATTTGGCCCCGCCTCTGCATGTAGGTCACTGGAGGGCGTCTGTTCTTAGCTCAGACAGGATGGGGTTAAAGGAGCTGCTGATTTGGGGGCTCTGCCTCACTCAGGCCGGCAGGAGAGAGGGGTACGGAGTGCTGGGTGAGCCTGTGGCGGCAGAGGCCAGCATGACTTTGCACCAGCCTGAGGTGTGCCGTGTGTTCTCCCGGGGAAGTTGTCCCTGGATCTCAAGACCCTGGCAGTGGCGGGCTGCACAGGCACCCTGAAAGGGAGGTGTGGAGAGTGACCTGTGCTCGCACACAGGCTTCTTGGTGGTGGAAGCAGCAGCCCTAGTGTCTCATGCCTGTCTCTGTGGCCTGCACTGTTAGCCGTGGCTCACGCCCGTCTCTGGAGCTCCTTTAAGCAGCGCTCTTAATCCCCTCTCCTCACGCACCAGGAAACAAAGAGGGAAGAAAAAGTCTCTTGCCTCTTCGGCAGTCCAGACTTTTTCCTGGACTCCCTCCCAGCTAGCCATGGTGCACTAGCCCCTTCAGCCTGTGTTCACGCCGCCAGTCCTCTCCCTGCGCTCCGACCGAAGCCCAAGCCTCAGCTCCCAGCCCCGCCCGCCCCTGCTTGAGCAGACAAGCCTCTCGGGCTGGTCGGCACCAATCCTCTGTGCGGGAATCTCTCCGCTTTGGCCTCCGCACCCCTGTGGCTGCGCTCTCCTCCGTGGCTCCGAAGCTCCCCCCCACCCGCCACCTGCAGTCTCCACCCGCGAAGGGGCTTCTGGTGTGTGGAAACCTTTCCTCCTTCACGGCTCCCTCCCACTGGTGCAGGTCCCGTCCCTATTCTTTTGTCTCTGTTTATTCTTTTTTCTTTTGGCCTACCCAGGTACGTGGGGAGTTTCTTGCCTTTTGGGAGGTCTTAGGTCTTCTGCCAGCGTTCAGTAGGTGCTCTGTAGGAGTTGTTCCACATGTAGATGTATTTCTGATGTATCTGTGGGGAGGAACGTGATCTCCGCATCTTACTCTTCTGCCATCTTTCCCCCTCTCTCCACCAATGTGATTTTAAAGTTGGTTTGTTGAGAGTCCTTATAGCTTAATCTTTTCTTAATCTTTTCTTAAGGGCACTTAATCTTTTCAGGGCCTTCTTAGACAACAAGCAATATTTTTTGTATATCACATTACTCTCCCACATATTTCAAAACTACATAAGCAATTTGAAACCTCCAAAATCAAAGACGGAAACTTAACATCTACGTGTCTAGGGTTGGCATGTTTGATATATGACATGTTTTCATGTACTTTTAGAATATTATATCTATCTCTAAGTCATTAAAAACTCACCTAAAACTCATATGAATTGCAATAATTTATCTCCCTGAATATTTGCTGATTTTTTTCCTTAAATATTATAATATATATATATATTTGTTCTGCAAAAAGTTGAGGATTTGGGATTCCCTCTCACCCTCATCCCTCTACTGCTCATGGACTGAACGAATCAACAAATATTTACTGAATACCTACTATGGGACAGGCCTTGAGGACAGAATGGTGAATAATATAGAAGATAATAATAATAGTTGCTTTTATGACATTTACAGATGTGTACAAATGAACAGCAAATCAAAAAAGGAGATACTCTACAGTTTGCAGTTTACCTTGATTTCATCAAGGTTATTTGGATTTTTCACTCGTCGGAAATAACTAGAGTTGATTCTACATGGCTTCATCCAGACAGGCTGATTCAAGTTGGGATCCTCGGCAAATATTTCTTCAAAAATCTCTTTTGTTAAATCAAAAACCGCCTTGATAGAGAAAAATAAACAAATTAAAATGGCTAAGAATCCAAATTTCAGACAACAGAGAGAAGTTTAAAAATTAGAATTATCCTTCCATGTTACATACCTGTTTGTACACTCTTTTACTAGTGCTTTCTATATCTAGACCCTTACTGGCACAGCCAAGCAGTTTTGTGGGAATACTGATGCTGTGAAGATCATGACCTAATTCTTTCCAATTCCAAAGTTCTTCTGCTGCATTGTGTACAAGAATTTCTACTTCCTCCGCAGTATGTGGGACTGCCAATAATGTTTCACATGGCTTCTGTAGAGCTCCCTTAGGTTCTGCCATTAGAGGTACAATTGTTTCTTCTGCCTTATTCTTTTGTATCTTGTGAGAAGAGCTCAAACCAAAGTCTTCATCAAACCAGTCTTGATCATCTCCTAACACGCTCAGGAACTCCCGGCTAATCTCAAGTTCAGCAAGTCTCTTAGCAAGCTCTTCCTGCCCACTGGCACCAAATACTGGACTCTCCTACAGAAATGGAACCATTCAAACAGAGCACCATTTAGTAACCTCAGATCACTTAACAAGTTTGGGCTTTTTTTTTTAAAGACAAAGCAAATATATTATTTGTATATTTACTATTTCTCTATAAATAAGCAAGACAGAAACAATATGGTGGCTACTAATGAACAATTTAAGAAAAAACTATCCTGTTTCCTGTAATTCTGCTCACGTAAGCCTTACAACTGATTTTAATAAAATGTTTATTGATCATTTTTTCCTTTTTGTATCATCATTATTCTGTTTCTGAAGAACTGTTTTGCTTCTGAGATATGGAAATGAGATATAAAATTCTCACCTTTGGTGATTATCTAGCTCAAGTTACTCAAATTCATTACTGCTGTTCAATTGTCCATGGGCAACCTAAATAAGTTGATGGTCTGAGTATATGTCATAATGGATACATTTCAGTTTTACCAGAGTCAACATCACAACTGGCAATCTCTGCAAGGCAACTATGACTGAGTAGATATGTGAACAAATAATTTCATAGCCAAAAAAAGAACTGGGTTGAGAACCAATGGAAATCTCCAAGGAATAAATTTATTCAGTGAATCTGGAAAAGAATCTAATCTGTGGACAGTACACAGGGGTTTTCAACCCAGCATAAAACTGCCAGTGTTTTTGACAACTCTATAGTGACCATTCATGACATAATAGAGGACAGTTATACTTCAGACAGAAAAACAGCTACATGGCCTTTACAAACTAGTGAAGTGATCTTTATTTAACAAATAACACATCACCAAAAAACCTATCAGGAGCTACAGAATTAAAATGTACTATAAAGGCAAGATTAATTGACATTTTTTCTAGACAAAATACTTACAGGTCTAGGACACATATCTGGTGAGGAAATCTCTTCTTTCTCATCTTCCAATTCAGACCTTAAGAAGCAACCTGGAACACTTGGTGACTGTTCCTCAAGATTCTGGGATAGGCCTTGGGGTGGTACTTTCTTTTGATCATCAACAAGAAGCTCTTGATTGCTAAGCTGGATTTTCTCATTCCTAGCTTTTTTGATTTGTTGTAGTTGATTGACTGTGTCCTTCACAAAGACGTTTAGTAAACTGTCTGTCAGTAAGCTGACTGTTTCTAGTTGTTCCTTTGACTTTTTTTCCTCACTTGGTGATGACCTCAGCTGGGCTTCCAACTGGTTCTTTTCTCTTGCTAAAAAGTCCAGAAGTGGAGTAGAAAGCTTTTCTGAAACTTCTGGATATAGGTTCTCTTCCTTTTCGGTAAACTGCTGTTGCTTCCTTAATTCTTCAGAAAAGGTATTATCTAAAGTATCGTCTTCTACAGCAGTGGAAACCTTTTCCGTGGCACCAGAAACAAGGTCTTTGTTTTCCTTTGAAGAAATCAGTGAATCCACTGAATTCTGCTGGTGAATATGGGCTTCAAGTACTCCAGAAATGTCCTGTATATTGTCTGTTTCTATTTTAAGGCTTCTATCAACTGAGGCTTCTGTGTCATGCATACTAGGTTGAGATTCCTTATAAAAACACTCAACTGCATCCTTTTCTCTGTCAAACTTGGGACCCTCTGTATCTTTTTGTTCTTGATTATAGTATTGATATTGTTCATCTGAATAAGAGTTTTCATCTTCATTTATGTCTACATAGTCATCAAAGTTTTCTGCAATGTGAGATATTTTTTGAGGAGGAGCAAAAATCCCATGCTTCTCTTTGCACACAAAGTATACAATGCCATCATATGTTCCACTGTTATTTCCTTCAGGTTTATCCAACTCCACTCCAGCCCAAAATCCTTTAGCAAAACTAGTCACACCTTTGAATCGAAGAGTTCCTGGCTGAACATTGCCAATCAGCACCCTATCACCGATGTGGAAATCAAGTAACTCATCTGCAAGAGAAGCTGAAGTTAAGGAAGGGGATTCAGTAAGTCTCTGTTCATGCTCTACATCACTGCGCTCCTTACTTTTCATAAGCTCAGTGGGGGACTTGTGTTCTAACAGCCTTTCAGAATGGACATTGCTATGAATAGAAAGGCTTTTCTCACTGAGGCACTCACTGATTTCATCATCACTACCAAAGCTAGTGGCTCTACTTCTAGAGATCCTTGTTGCCTGCGACTTCTCTCTGCAAGACTGAGAGTCTTTCCTGAGTGACAACAAAGATGTCACCTCAAAGTCATCTTTGTACAATTCAGCTGAAATGTCTTTCTTGAAAGAAGATACTTCAAAATCTTCAGAGTATGATATCTCTTTATGTGCAAAAAGATGTTCTGACCAAGATGAGTCTCTGCCCTTTATATTCTTTTGTACGTGAGTGTCTTTTTCTGATTGGATGTTTGCACTATGACCCATATCTTGATCTGACTGTCTCTCTTTTGACTCTTTTTTATGAAGATTTTCAATGGCTAATCTAACTAAGTCTTTCTGAACATTTATAGAATCTAAAGAAAGATCTTTCCTTGAAAGGATTTCAGATGAATTTCCCTGTTCCAGGTCTAGTTTCAGGAAGACATCAGGCTTCATAGATTGTTTAGAATAGGCATCTTCAATTGCACTCTCCTCCAATTCTGCATATTCTACTTCGTGTATTTCTGATTTTTGACTAGATTCTTTTTCAACCTTGGCATCTGACACATCAAGAATTCTATTAGAGGCAGTTAATTCTTTGAGAAGAGGTAATGAAGGGACATTTTCTAGAGAATCTCCAGAGTCTGCTCTGGTTCTCCTTGATGATCTGAGAATTGGAGAAGTCTGAAAGTGCTCTTCTGTTCGACTGTCCAATTCAATCATTCTCTTTGCATATGCAGATAAAGACTTTTCTGACACTGATCTCTCAGAACCTGCCAATGCAGCATCTTAAAAGGAAAAAAAAGATCACATCAAAATTATCTAATTCAATTTCTGGAACCAAAGTTTAAATAAAAGCTAAATATTGGTGAGAAAAAGCTCTGGTCAATAAATAGGACCTGTTTTACAGGTTACAGTATAAGGTAAGTTTTTCCTTTAAGAGAATATACTGTACCAACAATAAACAGAACATTTAAAAAATGACTGAAAATTTAAAGTTTGGTATAATTTTTTAAGTGTTGTCAACTTACAAAGTAAAGAAAAATGGATCAAAGTTTATGGAAATGTTAATCCTCAAATCATGCAAAAACAGAATTGTATGATGGATATTACATATATTCTTCAAAAACGAAAGCAATGAAGGAAGGACAAATGTAGGGACTTCAGCTAACCTCTTGAACGTAAAAAAAGGGAAAAAAATCAATTATTTCTGCAAATATAGCACTTTAAGAGCTAAAACTGCAAAATAAGAAAATAAGGTTTGATGAACTAACAAACCAAGAATTAAAAGTTTTAAATTCAAATCTGTTTTGTCATTGTTACTAGTAGGCTTTTTCATGTCTCAGTTTTATTTCCTCATTGAATTATACTTTATTTTCAATAGTTCTTATCTTTCTTTGGATTAAATTGAAAAAAAATGTATGTAACTACTTATACTGAGAAACAGCATAGGCTGAAAATATATATAATCAGATACAAAATCTGATTAAGGGAGAATTTAAATACTGACGATACACTCACAGCCATTTTGGATTAATGTCCTTATTCCTCAGTTTTCATCAGCTATTGGGACAATAAAGACTGATTCACATAACTTAGGCACAACCAAAAAATCACTTTAAAATATAAAAGTAACTTAAAATATTAAATAATCTATTATCTTTAAGAAATTCACTTTTTAACCAAAAAGCTGTTGAGGTGGAATTTTGTAGGCACTTGTATAATCTTTAGTCTATGTAGATACTATGTGATTATTTTTTCTAGTTACATACCAACATGTTCAGCAATAGACTCCAGGGATCCTCTGGAACGTTCTGACTCTGTCAGTGATTTCCAATTCTTTGCTGTTTCAGATCTAAAGTAGAAAAATTAATAAACAGAAATAAATGTATTGCTGATACTGTAATAACTGGTAACAAAAAGCAATCAATTCTTAGACAACTGCTTCTTTTTTCTTCTTCGCAGGAAGTATTCTAACCTTTGCCACTTCCGCCAAGTCTATTTGTGGCCTTCATCACACTCAATAGATGATCTTGCCTCTTTTAATGAGAGAAACAGAGGCCATCAGCATGACCCTTCTTATCTTCAACCTTTTTACCTACAAATTTATCTATATTCACAGCTATCCCAACTGCCTTTCCTCCTGTCTCCAAGGAAGAAAAAGGTGCATCTCTCACACTTGTTCAAACTTCTTTCTGTCCCAAATCCCATACATTTCCACAGCCTCATTGATGGTACTCCTCAATTGTCCATTCTTTTTCCTACAATCTTTAGTCCTTCAGTCTGGTGACTTTTTTCCCCTCAGCTTATATGTATGCCTCAAGCCTCAAAAAAATCCCACCCCCCGATCTTTTTTTTCCCTTGTTTTTTAAAGTTTTTATTTTATATTGGACTGTAGTTGACTTACAATGTTGTGTTAGTTTCAGGTATACAGCAAAGTGATTCAGTTATACATATATCTATTCTTTTTAAAATTCTTTTCCCATTTAGGTTATTACAGAATACTGAGCAGACTTTTCCCCCTCAATTCTTTATTCCTCCACCTGGTGCTACTGTCCTCTTTCATGCTTTAAGTTGACATTCACCATCTTCATTTTCTTGCTTTCTTTTTATGTGCTAAGTCATAATATTTGGCTTCTACTCCTACTTCTTTATAACCCCCTTAAATGTTGCTATTTTATCGTATTTAGTACTTGGCTCCCTTTTATTCTCTCTGAATTTGCATACCTTTTTCACCCAAATGTTCACCCAAATGTTGTTATATTTATAGCTTCAACCACCATCTATATGCTGATCACCCCAAATTAAAAAGCTAACATCTTTCCTGGATAATTCCACTTAGATGAAGTACAGGTACCTCAAAATTAACATTTTAAAACCAAAATCATAAGACTCCCACCAAAGAACACCTGATTTTCCATTTAGGTTAGTGGAACTTTGACCCAACAAACTACTATTTAAGAGAAACACGGGAGTCATCCAGCTTTTTCCTGCTTCCCTATCTAGCACTTTAATTTGTTAAGTATACTTAAAAATTCCTAAAATCTATCTCCTATTCTCTATTCTTATTACAGTGGATTATCTGAGGGCTGGCTTAGACTACTGTTATCCCTGCTTCTAAACTTACCCCTTTCTATCTTTCCTTCATATTGTAGTCAGAAAGATTTCTCTAAACAGAAATCTGATTCTACCATTCTCTGGTTAATAAAACTATAAAACCATTCCATGGATTGTAGAAATTAAAATAAAACTTATGTATAATGTAATATAAAGGAAAAATGTACAAGTAACAAAATTACACACAAAATCTAAGCATAAAAAATCCTAGACGGGGCTTCCCTGGTGGCGCAGTAGTTGAGAGTTCGCCTGCCGATGCAGGGGACACGGGTTCGTGCCCCAGTCTGGGAAGATCCCACATGCCGCAGAGCGGCTGGGCCCGTGAGCCATGGCCGCTGAGCCTGCGTGTCCGGAGCCTGCGCTCCGCAACAGGAGAGGCCACAACAGTGAGAGGCCCGCGTACTGCAAAAAAAAAAAAAAAAAAAAATCCTAGATGGAAATATATCTAATTGTTGACATTTGTTGTTTTGGGATAGTTAGGTATGATATGACTTAAACTTTTTCTTTTTACCACTTCCCTCAATATTCTAGTAGCAATAATAATAACAACTAATACATAGTACTAATTGTGTGCTAGGCCCTGTTCTAAGTTAAGTCTTTTAACTCTCATAAACCTGAGTTTATTACTCAGGTGTTGGTATAGGGATCTAAATCCCTATTACAAAATTGAAACATAGAGAGGTTAAATAACTCGTCCCAAATTAAAAAGCTAGCTGGTACTGGAGTCAGGATTCAAACCCAGGTAATGCTAAATTAATTGTAATGAGCCTCTATAACATTTCTAAAAAACATTTCTAAAATATTTCCAAAAAATATCCTAAAATATGCTTTAAAAAAAAATTTAACAGCGTCACATCTTCTAAAAAAGTAAATTAGAAACTACTAAGAATGCGTGAGTACAAGGTTATCACAATTTGTTTTTTATTTTTCCAGTCTCTTCTCCTAACTCCAGCTACATCCTATGATGTTCAGCTTCCATGATATGCCAAGCTCTCTGTTGCTTCTGGTCACTCATGAGTGCCCTTCTCTCTGAAATATCCCCTATTTCTCAGTCCCATTTACCTATATAACCTCTACTCACTCAAAATTTAGTTTAAATATTACTACCTGACTTTCTTATATACCATATTATATATTCTAATAGTGCTACTTTGTATCTTCTGTATTTGTATTCACTGATTGCATAATATTCTATCCCTGGAAAGAACCATCATTTACTGGGCTATTCACCAGTTCTGGACATAAAGGCTGCTTCCAGTGTTTATGTTATAAACATAATATAAGAGATGTTATGATAAACATATTCATGCAAATAGATATTTTTGATAGCCCATATTTTCTCAAGCTAGATTTTCAGAAGTGGAATTACTGAGTCAAAAGTTACAAATTGTTTTTGACTTCTGAAACATTGCCAAATTGTTTTCCAAAACAACTATACCAACTTATGATGCTATAATAGCAATGCTGGAGAGTACTATTTTTACAGCTCCCATCAGATTTCAGGATTCAAAATATATTTTAAAATCTGTATCTTATTATAAATTTTATTTGTGATTATATCATAAATAACAAATTTACTTTAGTGAAACTGAAAATATAAACCAATATTTTCACTTCTACAATTTCACAGTTACCTAAAAGATAGCTTCTACTCAAAACCTTTCCTTATTCCTCTCTCAAACAAGGCAGAATATAGGTTAGTTATCAAAAATTTCTACCTGTGTAGTGGAAGGGGCTTGATCTTGGGTTTTTCAGAAGCTGAGGAGAGCGTTTTAATCTGAGGCTTGGCTGTTGGTGATGTTTCCAAATCTCGGCTAAGCTCGGCTTCAGTTTTCTTAATGAATTCATCATATGACTAAGTTTAGAAAAATCAAAGGAGTCACTACACAGAATTTTTTAAACTATCTTAAATTATAAAATAGTATATTTTATGGTAAAATATTCAAACCGTAAAAAAGATATAAAATTCTTTCTCCCTGCATCAGTATTATTTCCCAGAGTTCTAAAATCAGTTACTTGTATAGCCTTCTTGAAACAGTCTATGTATAAGCAAGCTCTATAATTGTAATACTAATATCAATTAGGAAATGACAGTCTCAGTCTACAGAATTTTATTTAATACTTTTGAAGCAATAGTTCAGGCCGTGCCACATTAAAAAACTTCTTTAGCTAATTATATAATTATTCTTTAAAGGATGCCTTAATACTTTCCTGGTATTTTTAAGAAGTTTAGCCTTTACACTAAGTTTCAGTGGCAGTAAGCTTCTTAAGGGGTGAGCACTTCAGGAATACAAATCTCAAGGAGAGAGAAGCGAGTGGTTGGGAGTATGATAATATAGAATTGCAAAAATATTTCTTAGTCATTAGCCATTCTGTAAACAAAACTTCACTAATTTATAATTCTAACTTGAATGAAATCTAAGGGAAGCCCTCCTTCTATTAGAAAAACCTCCTCAGTTTTCTAGGCTAAAATTAATCCCTACTTTTATTTCTCTCACATTTAAGACTACAGCTGTTTTGCTCAACACGATATGTCCAGCACCTACTCACAGTGTCTGGCTCAAAGAAGGCTGAGTGAATGAGCAGACAGATGTTTGTCAACTGCTACAGTTCCCTAAAACTTAGGCTAAAATCACTATTTTTATAACTATCACCGTCTATGTTACCTTCCTCTGAACTGTCAATGTTTTGATAAACATTGGTATTAAACATATACTACAGCTAGATGATTTGGCTAGCTAGGTATACATAAGGACAATGATTTCTCAGATCTGAAAGCTATACTTATATGAGTGTAGTTCATTTATTAAATATGTGATCAAATAAAATCCAAAAGTTTTTTTTTTCATACAAACTGCTATGCATTATATATTTCTCTATCATATACTATAATTGTAAAATCTAAATACAGAACTTTCTTTTGCCTTTATTTAAACCGTTTAATAGAATGTTGAATGAGATGGATCTTTTGTATCCTTCTCTAGATATCCTTCTGGGTGACATACCTACTAATGAACTTTTGGGGCAATGCCATTCAATCTAACGGTATTTCATTTAGCTTTCAATGGCTCCACATGACCTATAGCAGTACTTTTAAATCCTGGGCCCCACCCTAGACCAATTAAATCAAAATCTCTGGAAGTGAGCCTGGATATTTGTATTTTTCAAAAAATCTCCTCAGTTAATTCTAATGTATAGTCAGGTTGAACACTACAGACCTATATAGGATGAAGTCCAAACTTATCAGTCTGGTTTCTAAGGCCCTGAACATAATCTTTATTTTTAAATTTTGTTCCTCACTACTTTCCGACATGAACTTCTCAGCATGGCCACTGAATCTTAACCACTTTTTCTTACTTCTAAACATATGTGCAAGTTACAATTCCCATTCCCATCTCTGTACTGTCTGCCTGTGTAAACGTCTATCTTCTCCAGATCCGTTAGCAGGTCTACTTTCTATGTGGAAGATAATGTAGTGTTAACAGCAGGGGCACAGAATTTGGAATTCGAGCTAGATTAAAATCCTAGTTTTAACACATGTGAGCTGTGTGTCTCTGGATATCATTAATCTCACTAAAACTTAGTTTCCTCATCTGTAAAAGAGGGATAGTAATATCTACACCTTGTTACTTTGAGGATAAAATGAAAAATATGTGTAAAGTAATTAGCTGAGTTTCCAGCACATAAATATGCACCTGATTAATTAATGTAGGAGGACACATGTTTGGTGTTACCACACAAGGATGATTAAAAGAACAGAAATTCTGGCTAAGCATAACAAAGAGCTTTCTAACACTTAGAGCACCTCGAGTCCAACCGATGAAACCAACTGCCTTGAAAATCTGAAATTTGCTATTACTGCAAGTGTCTGGATAGAAGCTGAATGATCAGGTCAGGCCAAGAGAAGGGATTCTCATGATGAGCAGAAAGTTCAGACCAGTTCTATAACGAATGTGGTGTTTAGGAACACTAGGCTGGCAGAATGCATGTAAGCTATAGGGAAGCGACCAGAGGCAGGGACATTTAAGAGGCTATGTAGACAACAGAGGCAAGAGGACATAAGGGCCCCAAATAGCTTGATGGCAGTAGGAATGGAAAGGGACAAGCAAGAAGATTTATGAAAAAAGTATCAGTGGGATCTGGTGACTGAATGGATGGGAGAAAACAGAATGAGGAATACATAAAAATGAGGTTTCCAGACTGGAGTAGAATCAGGGAAGGCTGCTAGAATTAAGGAAAGTCAAGTTTAGAGTTACTATTTAGGAGCCTTTCAAACAGTACAAAGAGTCGTACTAATAAGTTGTGTGGCATGAAACACCACTCCGCTTTAAAAAAAAAAAAAAAAGGCAGTAACAGTTCCAATAGCTAGGATTATTTATCTAATGGTTCTTTGCTTTAGAGGACACGGATATCAATTTTTCTTTCATAGGCCTAATCTTTCTTCTTTAGAAAAAAACTTATTTTAATACTTTTACTATTTACTTTAATACCTGATATTATAATATTTAACATTTTAAGTTAATATTTAATTTAATCTTTCAAGCAAGAGTTTGTTCAGATTTTTTTTTAAAGTTAGGTTAAAATGTGGTACAAAATTAATATTGAAAAATTCTAATCCATTACTTTATTAACAAGTCTAAAAAAATTTCAGGGTTCACATTTACATTAGCCTTGAAACTAAACCCCTTTCTTCTTATTTCTAACCTCCAATTGTTTGATTAGACTGGCTTCTTGGGCTTTCAGTCTTTCCTTTTGCCTTTTTTTCTGTTCCTTCTTCAGTTGGTCCACAACTGATTTTCTTTTCCGCAGCTCATCCTTCAGGGCTCTGATCCTACCTTCAATGTCACTCTGGTCAGATGTAGTTTCTAAAAGAGATACAGAATCTTTTTATTTAACTTAAAAATAAAGTTAACTCAGTAACTATTAATAAAAAGCACCAATGTAAAGTCAATCTAACATTTAAAATTTGAGGTTCAGAAAAAAATTATTAGTGATTTGCATCCTTTCTTTTCCCCTAAATCTCTATGGGGAGGGGGGGTGTCTTCCTATTTGTTTTCACTTTCTAATTGCACTATTTGAAACTGCAAATAAATCTCAAGGTACCCTGTTCTTGATTAAGCAGCTGGAAGTTGAAAAACTTTTGGTTAGTGAACTTTGGACATTCTGCAAGGATTTAGTTCCTGGTGACAATACAGCCATATTTAACTGTACTTCCTCTTGGTTATTAATAGTAGTTTGATAGTTTTTAAGTCATATTAAAATCAAAGTGGAATTTTAACATTTTAAATTGATTGTCATCAGCTGATGTCTTAACATCACATAAAAGGAGAGAGAAAAATTATAAAGAAATATACTCTGCGGTAACTTTTCTTTGGAAGTTCTTAAAATATTTAAAATAACTGAAATGAAACTAGTTAAATCTTATTTTCTTCCCAACAATTCAGACACATATATACACATAAAGTAGATGTCCAGTCATAGCAAAATCATGAAAAAGACATTTCATTGTGTCATGCATATCTTATAAAAATAAGTATCATTTAAAAACACTGTTTATTTCACTACACATGGAAATTACATAGAAAATAAAAAAGACTGTTCCTCACACCTCCTCCCTGAATCACACAATGGTGTCATTTAATGAGTGAGACATTTAATAGTCTTATAAGAGAAATACTATTGTATACAAATCTGAAGACTCAGATGTACATTACAACATTACATCATAAACAATCAGGTTTTTTCAAGCACTTCAGATTAAACTGCATAGAACTAGTCACAGAATTTATTTTAAAAAGATAATAGGGGCTTCCCTGGTGGCGCAGTGGTTGAGAGTCCGCCTGCCGATGCAGGGGATACGGGTTCGTGCCCCGGTCTGGGAGGATCCCACGTGCTGTGGAGCGGCTGGGCCCGTGAGCCATGGCCGTTGAGCCTGCTCGTCCGGAGCCTGTGCTCCATAATGGGAGAGGCCACAACAGTGAGAGGCCCACATACGGCAAAAAAAAAAAAAAAAAAGATAATAGTCTTTTTTTGCAATGATCTAAATATCTGGATTACAAATAATGACATCTAAGTTCCTGCCACTTTTATGTCCTGACTTAAGGTATACTAGGAAGTTATATCCATCTTATACCAGTAGTGGCATCAGACTGAGCCCTTAGCATGGGCAAAGTTTACTACTCAGTGATCAACACTCATAAAATGAAGTAACAATAAAGGCCATTTTCAACTCAGGATCTATTACTAGTAATCGGTAAGGTGTTTGACACTTACCGATTTCTAGAATTGATGTGAAAATTAAATAAGGTATATAAAGCATGTAGCACAGTACCCGGACTACTATTACAGCTCAGTAAATGGTGGTAGTATTAGCACACATAAAACAAACATTTTTATGTAGCCATATCTTATGTAACATATTTTTTGGTTTAAAACTAAAAAAGGTTGTAGAGATGAGATATCAACTGAATCCTGCTCATGCTTTCTTTTAATTTCTGAAGAAAATAATCAATTGGTTTCAGGGTTAAAAGACTCTGAACCTTAGCGGTAAGCTTTACAGTGATTTAACTGATGACTCTAGTACAATAATTGGGGGTAGGACTGTAGGCTGGGCAAAAAATTAAAATCTTTCTAAAATGAAGTATAAACCCATATCTTTGCATCTTCTACAGCTGTGTATTCTTTTAACTGTGTATTATTTTTTTTGTGCTTCCAAAACTTGAGATGTTACTTTGGTAAAATTTTATAGGAGACTACTACACTCCCACAGACTTAGTTTCAGCTCTGCCCCCCAGAAGTTTATTTTAAATGAATATATTTTAAAAATTGGATATGTCAACAGTGATTTTTTAAAATAAAAATATCTTTATCATCTATGATTGCAAAGATTTAATAGCAGATGATGAGAAACTTCAAGTTTTAGATGAAAGACCTTGGGAAATGTTTTTATTTTTAAGTACTAAAGAAACCAAAATCCTACAAATGAAGGGTAGAGATTAAGTAAAAGTCTATGAGAGTGAATGGGAATACATTTTATATATGCCCAAATCTAGTATTACAACAGTGTTTATCATCAGTAACATCTAAGAGAATCTCTATAATTTTTTTTTTTAAATCCAAGCAACTTTCTAGATGAATGTATTGTCTTTATGAAATTCTCTCCTACAGAGTTTTTTGGAAGGTGAGGGGACAGGGGAAGTGGCAGGTAAATGATACTTCAGTTTGTTTAAACACATCAAGACAGAATAAGCAGATGGACAGAATAACTCAATCAAAAATTAAGTTCGGGGGCTTCCCTGGTGGCGCAGTGGTTGAGAGTCCGCCTGCCGATGCAGGGGACATGGGTTCGTGCCCCAGTCCGGGAAGATCCCACATGCCGCGGAGCGGCTGGGCCTGTGAGCCATGGCTGCTGCTGAGGCTGCGCGTCCGGAGCCTGTTGTGCTCCGCAACGGGAGAGGCCACAACAGCGAGAGGCCCGTGTACCGCAAAAAAAAAAAAAAAAAATTAAGTTTGATTATCTGACACATGCTGACTGTATTAATTTGGTTGATAACAAACTCTCCATCACTTAAGTGAGAAAGGTATTATATAACTCCACTACATTAAAATTTACCACTTCCATAAATACTGCATATAAATGATGTCATCATGAATAGGTAGATGGCATTATAGTTGAAAAATCTCAGAGCTGTTTTTCTAAAGCTGTTCTTGCTTAAATATGTTTTACCAATCAAACAGTATCTTATAAATATTATAATTAATCCTTGTTGCATAACTCATGCAAGGATGGTTAAGATATTATTCCATTGCTACAGATAGAAAAGATTATCTAATATGGGAAGGAAACTTAAAGAGAGTCACCAGTATGTAATAGAGCCATGATGCGAATCCATATTTCCAAGTATCAAGTTTATGTCCACTGACATATTATTCTACAGGCAGTAACTTTTCACCAGAGTACATGAAAGCAAATATATAAAAATGCTAATCACTTGCAACAGATAAATATGACAGACAGGGACTTCCCTGATGGTCCAGTGGTAAAGAATCTGCCTTGCAATGTAGGGAACGTGGGTTCAATCCCTGGTCAGGGAACTAAGATCCCACATGCCACGGGGCAACTAAGCTTGTGTGCCACAACTACTGAGCTCACGCGCCTCAACTAGAGCCCGCATGCTGCCAACTACAGAGCCTACATGCTCTGGAACCCGTGTGCCACAACTAGAGAAGAGAAAACCTGCATGCCACAACTAGAGAGAAGCTCACGCACCACAATGAAGATACCCCATGTCTCAACAAAGATCCCGTGTGCCGCAACTAAGACCTGACACACCCCAAAATAAATACAATAAACAATAAATAAATCTTTAAAAAAAACAATTTAAATATGACAGACAACATTCTTCAACTTTAATTACTGGCTTGATCCAGTAATTCCATTTCTAAGAATTTATTCCTACTGAAATATTCAACAGGCATCTATATAAATGAAGATGTTCATTATAGCATTATTTGAAATATTGAAAATTTTGAGAAAACCTACATGACTATCACTAGGGAAATAGTTAAATAAATTATGGTATACCCACCCTTTGAAATATTATGCAGTTATTCAAAGAATAAAGGAGATCTATAAATATGGGCATGGGGAAAAAACCCATGATTTATTACTGTTTAAAACACTGAAAACAAAGGGGGTACAGAATAGAATCTAAGATCAAAAAATGAATAGTATTTTTCACTTTTCCTTTACTAAATGTCTACTCTCAAAAGAAAACTGAAAATGAACTCAAAAGACATACACTCAACATGGTATTAATCTTCCTCAGAATCCTACATAAACCAAGTATTGTCTGTCTAGATACGCCTCCCACGATCAACGCCTTGAATCAAGTCTTCTAGAGTAAAGGCTGTTTATTCTTTCGTAATCTATATGCCACAGAGATTTACAGTATGATAGAGCTTATGGGAAAATAGATAATGCTCCCCACTGCCATGTGCAGTCTCTTCTCTACTTTTCCTCCCTTTAGTCTTATGCTACCCTGCTCTACCACCTCCTATTTCTCCTCACTGTCATCATTAAATCATTCAAGAAGCATTTAATAAATACCTACTATGTGCAATGCAAAGTACCTGCTAGGGCCTGGTGCTACAACTGTTAAAACATAGGACTTTCCTTTGCAGAAGTGTATATTCTAGTAGGGGACACCTGCTGTGTAAAGTTTGATTACAATTTATGTGTTGCCTGGTATAACAAGTTGAAGAGCAGAGCACTATGGGAACACATAAGCAGTGCCTGACACACACCAAAAATTCAAAGAATGTGTGATGAATAAATGACTATTAACATCCAAGAATATAACAATTTATCATATTGGTGTAATTAGGGATACAATTATCAATGAAAAGCAAAGAATTATGCGATTTAGTCTTGGCAAGAAAAAAGTCTTTACAAATGAAACAAAGAATAACATTTTACCAGCCATACAGTTAGACAAAGCTTATTAAAGAGGAATTCAAATATAGTGCAAAGAAAACTAACTCCTCCTTGTTAGTCTTACCTGACTGTGTCATAGATAATGACTCATCTGACCAACTATAACAGTGTTGATGGGACTTGACAGGTAGATGACATTGTCCTCCAGTTCTATGACTTCCTTTGCTAGACTCCTGCTTTGACACAGATGTGCAGCTTTTAGGAGGTGACTGTTCAAACAGAAAATCAAATGGGAACTGTTTTGTGATACAGTTGTAAAATTCTATTTAAAATTCAAGATACAAACCAGTTGAAGATAATATTTACAAAGAGTTTTAAATAACTTTATGAAATAAAAAGTGAAAAAAGTTTGCAAAATATACTAAGGATAAGATCTTGACTTTTTTAAAGGTAGAGAAAAAAGTTATAAAAAAAGCATGCTTCTAAAAAACGTTTATAATAAATTATGAGTGGCTACTGAATCAGTGATACTTACCCCCTTATTCGTTTTAACTTTAACTTTAAAAATACTAAATATGGGGGTGCAGATACTTCAACATAGTAATTTCACTTCCTTCAGATATATATCCAGAACTGAATTTGCTGGATCATACGGTAGGTCTTCATCAACAGATGAATGAAGAAAATATGACACACACACACACACAAACACACACACATGCACACACACAAATACTATTCAGCCATTAAAAAACCCAAACAAACCATAAATCCTGTCACTTGAGACAACATGGATGGATCTTGAGGGCATTGTACTAAGTGAAATAAGTCAGAGAGAGAAAGACAAATACTGTATGATCTCACTTTTATGTGGAATCTAAAAAAACCCAAACTCATAGAAAAAGAGATCGGACTTGTGGTCACCAGAGGTGGGGGTGGAGAGGTGGGGGAACTGGGTGAAGCTGGTCGAAAAGTATAAGCTTCCAGTTATAAGACATATAGGTACTGGGGAAGTAATGTACAACATGATGACTATAGATAACACTGCTATATGGTATATTTGAAAGGTGCTAAAAGAGTAGATCCTAAAAGTTCTCATCACAAGGAAAAAAACTTTTTGTAACTATATGAGGTGATGGATATTAATTAAACTTACTGTGGTAATCATTTTACTATATATATATATGTCAAGTTATTATGCTGTACACCTTTAACTCACACAGTGCTGTGTGTCAATTGTATGTCAATAAAACAATTGAAATATACTAATGTACTACTTTTATGGAAGGAAAGAAGGAGAAATGGAAGCGGGAAGGGAAGAAAAAGAGCATAAGAAGACTGCCCAAATGAGATTATTTATTACAAAGGGTGAAATTTCTACCTTGATATCAAGTGGAAGTGAGAATGTCTGATTTGATTCCTAGCTATCACCACTTCCTATCCCTGTGACTATGGGCAAATTTCTTAGCCTGCTAAGCCTCAGAGTGGGGCTTAAAATCGAAAGAATTGTTGTGAGGATAATCTACATAAGGCATTCAGCATACTACCTGGCACTTGGTAAGTAAACACTCAATAAATATTACTTTTTATTATAGAAGTGACTTTAAGACACACTGAATTTAGGTGGATTCTTTTTTTTAAACACAAAGAGGCTTTAACAATGTTTGTGTTCACTTATAATATTTAATATTGTTATGCTATAAAAAGAAACAAAATTGAACTATTTGCATTGAGGTGGATGGACCTAGAGTCTGTCATACAGAGTGAAGTAAGTCAGAAAGACAAAAACAAATACCGTATGCTAACACATATATATGGAATCTAAAAAAAGAAAAAAAAAAGGTCCTGATGAACCCAGGGGCAGGACAGGAATAAAGACACAGATGTAGAGAATGGACTTGAGGACACGGGGAGGGGGAAGGATAAGCTGGGTCAAAGTGAGAGAGTAGCACTGACATATATACACTACCACATGTAAAAGAGCTAGTGGGAAGCAGCTGAGATCAGCTCGGTGTTTTGTGACCACCTAGAGGGGTGGGATAGGGAGCGTGGGAGGGAGGGAGATGCAAGCGGGAAGAGATATGGGAACATATGTATATATATAACTGATTCATTTTGTTGTGAAGCAGAAACTAACACACCATTGTAAAGCAATTATACTCCAATAGAGATGTTAAAAAAAAAAAAAAAAAAGAAAAGGCACACTGGTGTGGTTTAAGGTCTTATTGTTTCTATTATCTGACAAAACAGACTTTAATAAGAACTTGTATTGTCTCACATATTATCTTTATTAAAAACTTTAGAAGTTCCTATCCCCTAAATATTAAAAACTTCACAGCATATAATTTTATAACTGCCCCTAAAGCTAAAATTCATATATTTATAAATCTTTATAGGAAAGATTTATTTCTTTCCTATAAAGCAAAGCTTTATTTCTACTCAAATGTCATATACTATATGTTACAGGTATGGGTGATAGTCAATGCTGTCCTTAACAGCAAGAATGTAACTGTTAATAATATACCTTTCAGGCAGGATTTTTTCTAAAGAAGCTTTAAGATATAAATATATATTAACTTACATGTTTACTAGGCGAGGTAGAAGATTCCAGTTCTTGTGAAAAAACCATTTCTTCAGTAAGTATACTGTGATCTGGACTTCCAGGCTGCTCCTGAACTATAGATTCAGATGGTATATATTCAACAGCAGGGCTGCCCAATTCTTCTGGAATAGAGCTTTCACTGTGTAGATGAGAGTAGGAAGGTATTGGAGACTCTGTTTCACTCACTATTTCTAGAAGAGGGTGAAAACAAGAAAAAGTACACAATCTTGGTCAAGGGACATGTTCATCTGTTAAACTTCACATTTGTTTTTAGCATAATTTCACTAGTTGCATTTAGATATAATTTTTAATCCCACCACTTAGTGAATCACATTTACTATAATATCCATTAGTCTAAGAATTTTGGCTGATACAAACTGAGAGAAGATATCTGTAACATATAATCAGCAATGATAATGACTGACAACCTGAATGTAAAGATGCACAGCAATTACAACTCATATGTTCATTTAGAAATGGAATCAGTCCAACAACTTTGGAAAGAAATTTGGGAGTATTTGGCAAAGATGAAAACACTCTATGATCTAGCGATTCCACTTCTAGGTATAAATCCTAGATAAATCTTGTATACATGCAGCAGGAAACATGTACATGGTTACTAGTAGTATTGTTATAATAGTCAAAAACTAAGTAAAATAAGTAAATTGTGGTATATTTATAAACTGAAATGCTACACAGCAATAAAAATGAATGAACTGCATGCACTGATGGAGATATATTATGAATTTTACTCAGCACTTTCAGAATTTGTAGCACTGCCTTGCCTCTGGAATTTCCTGTCCATTGTGGCCTCTCCTCTAAGAAAACAAATACTTTTGACACTTAACATAAAATTCTTGACATTGTACTTGTCTAACCTTAAGAATGTACACTGCTTTTCTTCTTTATCACTATGGATACAATGTCCCACAAAGATTAGGTTATATCACACTTTGGGTCAATACTGGTAACATTTGATATACTCAATTCCAAAAATATCACTGAAGACTTCGGGCCTGAAACCCATAAAATAAGTTTATTTAGCAAAAGAAATACCTATATCCCAAAGAATGTTTTACTTCAATAAACAAGGATGACCTACATCTAAAAGCATTTCAGTTAAAAATTTAAAAAGATGTCGTTTTGGAGGGCAATTGCCCTGCCCACTTGGGCAGAGGGAGCCCGTTGAGCTCCCAGGCTGGTCCCCTGTCCTCCAAAGTCCCCCTCCAGGCCACGTAGGTCCTTGGGGGCATAGGAGGGAAGGCAGGGAGATCAGGAAAGTCAGCGGGGAGGCACCCTCCCAGATTGGAGGAGCAGGAGAGGACAGGACGGTGTGTGCCCCACACACTTGAGCCCAGGAAGCCTGCTGTGCTCCCAGTGAGGTACCCTGCCCTCTGAGACCAGGGGTGGGGGGCACACCTGGGTCCCTTCTGTTCCTTGAGCCTAAGCCCCAACTGCCACAGCCCCCAGGGCCTTTTCCAGCCCTGTGGGTCCTGAGCATTGGCCCCACCCACCACCCAAACCTCGCCTTTGCTTAGGCCCCGCCCTCCACAGCCATGGCCTTCCTAACCCCCCTCCACCCTTTTTTCTTTTCCCTCCTCTTTTTTACTATTGTGGTACTGATATACCTTCCAGGTGTTGATTCATCTATATTTTTATTTTTACATTCTTCCTAACATATCTGTTAGTTTCCTAGTCCAACTTTATTTTTTACTTTGTTACTGTTCTTTTTTTTTTTTTGCTGCCCCAGGCGGCTTGTGGGATCTTGGTTCATGAGCCCGGGGTTGGGCCTAAGCTCTTGCGGTGGGAGATTTGAGTCTGAACCATTGAACTAACAGAGAACCTCAGAACCTAGGGAATATTCATCAGAGTGAGATATCACAGAGTTCCTCATCTCAGCACCAAGACCCAGCTCTACCCAACAGCCTACAAACTCCAGTGTTGGAAGCCTCAGGCCAAACAACCATTCAGACAGGAACACAGTCCCACTCATTAACAAAAAAAAGGAGATGGGAAGAAAATATGTCACAGATGAAGGAGCAAGGTAAAAACCTACAAAACCAAATAAATGAAGAGGAAATAGGCAATCTACCTAAAAAAGAATTCAGAGTAATGACAGTAAAGATGATCCAGAATCTCAGAAACAGAATGGAGGCACGGATTGAGAAAATACAAGAAATGTTTAACAAAGATCTAGAAGAACTAAAGAACAAACAGAGATGAACAACACAATAACTGAAATGAAAAATACACTAGAAGAAATCAATAACAGAATAACTGAGGCAGAAGAATGAATAAGTCAACTGGAAGAAAAAATGGTGGAAATAACTGCCAGGGAGCAGAATAAAGAAAAAAGAATGAAAAGAATTGAAGACAATCTCAGAGACTTCTGGGACAATACTAAACGCACCAACATTCGAATTATAGGGTTCCCAGAAGAAGAGAAACAGAAAGAGTCTGAGAAAATATTTGAAGAGATTATAGTTGAAAACTTCCCTAACATGGGAAAGGAAATAGTCACTCAAGTACAGGAAGCACAGAGAGTACCATTCAGGATAAATCCTAGGAAAAACACACCAAGACACATATTAATCAAACTAACAAAAATTAAATTCAAAGAAAAAATATTGAAAGCAGTGAGGGAAAAACAAAAAATAACATACAAAGGAATCCCCATAAGGTTATCAGCTGATTTTTCAGCAGAAATTCTGCAGGCCAGAAGGGAGTGGCAGGATATACTTAAAGTGATGAAAGAAAAACCTACAACCAAGATTACTCTACCCAGCAAGGATCTCATTCAGAGTTGATGGAGAAATCAAAAGCTTTTCAGACAAGCAAAAGCTAAGAGAATTCAGCACCACCAAACCAGCTTTACAACAAATGCTAAAGAAACCTAAGTGGGAAACACAAGAGAAGAAAAAGACCCACAAAAGCAAACCCAAAACAATGAAGAAAATGGTAATAGGAACATACATATCGATAATAACCTTGAATGTAAATGGATTAAATGCCCCAACTAAAAGACACAGACTGGCTGAATGGATACAAAACAATAAGAGCCATATATATGCTGTCTACAAGAGACCCACTTCAGACCTAGGGACACATACAGACTGAAAGTGAAGGGATGGAAAAAGATATTCCATGCAAATGGAAATCAAAAAAAAAGCTGGAGTAGCAATACTTGTATGAGATAAAATAGACTTTAAAATAAAGACTGCTACAAGAGATAAGGAGAGACACTACATAATGATCAAAGGATCAATCCAAGAAGAAGATATAATAATTATAAATGTTTATGCACCCAACATAGGAGCAGCTCAATAAATAAGGCAAATGCTAACAACCATGAAAGGAGAAATCGACAGTAACACAATAACAGTAGGGGACTGCTTACAGCAATGGACAGATCATCCAAATAGAAAATAGATAAGGAAACACATGCTTTAAATGACACAACAGACCAGATAGATCTAACTGATATTTATAGAACATTCCACCCCAAAGTGGCAGAATACACTTTCTTCTCAAGTGCACATGGAACATTCTCCAGGATAGATCACATCTTAGGTCACAAATCAAGCCTCGGAAAATTTAAGAAAACTGAAATCGTATCAAGCATCTTTTCTGACCGCAATGCTATGAGATTGGAAATCGATTACAGGAAAAATACTGTAAAAAACACAAATACATGGAGGCTAAACAGTGTGCTACCAAATAACCAAGAGATCACTGAAGAAATCAAAGAAGAAATTAAAAAATACATAGAAACAAATGACAATGAAAACATGATGACCCAAAACCTATGGGACACAGCAAAAGCAGTTCTAAGAGGGAAGTTTATAGCAATACAATCTCACCTCAAGAAACAAATATCTCAAATAAACAATCTAACCCTACACTTAAAACAACTAGAGAAAGAAAAACAAAGAAAACCCAAAGTCAGTAGAAAGAAAGAGATTCATAAAGATCAGAGCAGAAATAAATGAAACACAAACGAAGAAAACAAGAGCAAAGATCAATAAAACTAAAAGTTGGTTCTTTGAGAAGATAAACAAAATTGATAACCCCTTAGCCAGCCTCATCAAGAAAAAAAGGGAGAGGATGTAAATCAATAAAAATTAGAAATGAAAAAGGAGAAATCACAACTGACACTGCAGAAATACAAAGGATTATAAGAGACTACTCCAAACAACTATATGCCAATGAAATGGAGAACCATGAAGAAATGGGCAAATTCTTGGAAAGGTACAATTTTCCTAGACTGAACCAGGAAGAATTAGAAAATATAAACAGACCTATCACAAGTAATGAAATTGAAACCATAATTAAAAGTCTTCCAGCAAACAAAAGTTGAGGACCAGATGGCCTCACAGGTGAATTTTATGAAACATTTAGAGAACAGCTAACACTGATCCTTCTCAAACTCTTCCAAAAAATTGCAGAGGGAGAAACACTCCCAAATTCATTCTACGAAGCCACCATCACCCTGATACCAAAACCAGAAAAAGATATCACAAGAAAAGAAAATTATAGACCAATATCACTGATGAACATAGATGCAAAAATCCTGAACAAAATACTAGCAAACAGAATCCAACAGCACATTAAAAGGATCATACACCACGATCAAGTGGGATTTATCCCAGGGATGCAAGGATTCTTCAGTATACACAAATCAATCAATGTGATACACCACATTACCAAATTAAGGAATAAAAACCATATGATCATCTCAATAGACGCAGAAAAAGCTTGTGACAAAATTCAACACTCATTTATGATAAAAACTCTCCAGAAAATGGGCACAGAAGGAACCTACCTCAACATAATAAAGGCCGTATATGACAAACCCACAGCAAACATCATCCTCAATGGTGAAAAACTGAAAGCATTTCCACTAAGATCAGGAACAAGACAAGGATGACCACGCTCGCCACTCTTATTCAACATAGTTTTGGAAGTCCTACCCACAGCAATCAGAGAAGAAAAAGAAATAAAAGGAATACAAATTGGAAAAGAAGAAGTAAAACTGTCACTGTTTGACAATGACATGATACTATACGTAGAAAATCCTAAAGATGCCACCAGAAAACTACAAGAACTAATCAATGAATTTGGTAAGGTTGTAGGACACAAAATTAACGCACGGAAATATCTGGCATTCTTATCACCAACAACGAAAAATCAG